CCCTTATATATAGCATTAACATTAGCAAGTTTCCATGAAGCAGGGATATGTCCAAGTTCCATCGTTTTGTTAAATAGTAATGTTAGTGGATATGATATTGAGGGTGTTAGTTTTTTAATTACTTTGGGTATAATTCCATCAGGCCCTGCTGGTTTATTATCATTTAGTAGTTCAAGTTGGTCGATTACATCTTGTTCAGATATGTCAATACTTTCTAATTGAAAAGGATAGTTATTTACAGTTGGTGGCAGTGGGTCAAGATTAGGAGAGGATGATGCTATTGAGGTCAAGTAATCGTTTAGTGTATTAGCTATAGCATGTTGCAGAGATATATCGTTATGACCAAGAGGATGAATGTTAGTTGATTTATCATTAAAATTAGATATAGACTTAGCTATTTTCCACCATTTAGATGGGGTAAGGATTTATCACTCAGAGATCTCTGTAGTTTTTCAAGATAATCTTTTTTCGGTTTTTTTTTTGATTTCAATAGTTTCATTTCTAATATTTCTATATTTATTCCAGTGGTATTGACTATTAGTTAATTTTGCTTTTTTATGGATCCCATTTTTTTTGTCTTAGTTTTAATCTGATTTTATTATTTACCCATGGTTTATCATCTGAACGTATAGTAATTATTTTTGAAGGAATATATTTATTTGTTGATTAATATTGTTGGTAAGTATTTGGTTGAATTCTTCTGAGGTATTATGTTGCACATGTGTCATTCAGTCAATATCTCTCTAGTGATCTGTTCATTTGGTCAAAATCAGCATTATCATACATCAATATAGTCTTTTTTATAAGAGGAAACTGTAATATGTATAGGAGAGTGATCACTACAGACCTGAGGGCTTGTACATGTATTTTGATTGATTCGAATATTATTAGTAAAGACAATATCTAAAGAGGTTGAACTATTAGGAGTGATTCTTGTCAGTTCATTTATTAGACTGTTCATATTATATTTATTAAGAATTCTGCCGAGATGAGAGTTAGGATGTAGATTTAACATGTCAATATTTATGTCACCTGTTAAAAGTATGTCTAGTGAGGTATCAACAGCTTTATCCAATAAAATATCAAGTTGTTTCCAGTATTCTACATTAGATTCCGGTCTGTATATACACCCTTATAACAATCTGCGATTACCAGTATACACTTCTATCCAAATAAGTTCGATATCATCATGCTCCAAATCTAATCTTCTTTTAGTCTGAACAGTATTTTTATAATAAATCAAAACACCACTCCGTCCTATTTTGTCTATCTTTTCTGAATGGTTAATTTGGAAATGAGTCTAGCATAATATCATTATTGGGTATATCTGGTGTTAGATGAGTTTCTGTTAAGCAAATAATGTCATTAGAGTGCAGCTCAGAATCAACTTTATCAAGTTTGTTCCTTACAGACCTAACATTGAGATGAGTGATTTCTTTATTTTGCGTGGGACAAGGATTAAGCTCAATGTCATTAGCAAGAAGTATTTGTTTTACTTACATAGCGGATATAGCTATTATTATTAGTTATGAGTATAATGTGACAATGTAGTAAGGGACACATGTACTCTGCATGTGTATATATAATGCAAGCATATTGGAATATGATTATTATTAACTAATCATTTACTAATGTACTGTGTATATATACATTTCAGGTATCAGTCATCCTTATGATTAAAGATATAAAACTAGGAAGATGTTGACTCTCATTTAATTATATACATGTATACTCCCCCATACTGCACATGAACCTCTGCTAGGTACTTAAAATAGGTTAAAGAATGTTTTTATCATTTCAAAATTGTGAGGGTTCAGTCCCACCGCTGGGGCTCAACACATATGCCCATATACACACGAGCTTCCGTAATAAACCCCCGCGGCCAGGCACACGGGCAGGTTCAACATGGACAAGTAATTAAACAACAGATCCCAGAGGGATCTTGGCGCCCACCGTTGTACCATCTTCATTAGTTCTTTGTTAGTTCGATCTTTTCTCTTCTTTCCTCTAATCTGTTTGATCGAGTCATGTTAACAGTAAATGCACCTTGAGGTAACTTTTGATCTAAACTTAATACTGATGTGTATAAAAGCCAACCTTCAAAGTGAGTATGTCATTTCACATATTTACTAGTACAATACTTAATGTGAAAGAAATAGAATCGATCATTGCAATATGAGAAAGATCAGTTTAGTCCTTCCGTTTGCCAGTTTGTTTTTATGATCAGTCTCAACATATAGCATGCACAACGAGGAATCAAGGGGAACATACATATCAAATTTGAGAAAGATCCCTAAAGTTATTCCTGAGAAATAGTACTAACAAACCTTCAATGTCAAAAATCGAAGATGGCTGTCGGTAGGCCATTTTGTTTAACTGATCAGTTTCAAAAGTAAACATGAACAATAAAGGACAGTGCATATAGAATTTGAGAAAGAACCCTCCAGTTCTTCCTGGGAAATAGCACTAACAAACCTTAAGTGTCAAAATCAAAGATGGCTGCCTGTCGGCCATGTTGTTTATCCGATCAGTCTCAAAAGTTGCCCTGCACAGCAAGGGACCAAGGACAGCCTACATATAAAATTTGAAAAAGATCTCACAGGTTCCCTCCGAGAAATAGCGATAACAAACCCTCACTATCAAAATCCAAGATGGCTGCCTGTCGGCCATGTTGTTTATCAGATCAGTCTCAAAAGTTGCCCTGCACAGCAAGGGACCAAGAGGAACCTACATATAAAGTTTGTGAAAGATCCCTTAGGTACTTCCCGAGAAATAGCGATAACAAACTTTCACTATCAAAATCCAAGATGGCTTCCTGTCGGCCATGTTGTTGATCCGATCAGTCTCAAAAGTTGGTTTGCACAGCTCAGGACCAAGGAAAACCTACATCTAAATGTTGAGAAAGATCCCTCTGGTACTTCTTGAGAAATACCGATAACAAGAACTGCTTTAGGACGGACGACGGAAGACGGACAACGGACGGACGGGCCACGGACGCAGGGTGATTTGAATAGCCCACCATCAGATGATGGTGGGCTAAAGACTCAGTATTAAGATGGCCTGGATATATAGATATACACGTCCTGCCCTCAAACATGACACGAACCCTGCCCCATCCCACCACTGAAAAAGACATTTTTTTGCACTTATCTAGAACTAATAAATTAGTATTTTCATGTCGGTTATACAAGTATACTACTTTCTGGCACCAACAAATATGAAGAACTTCATTATTTCTGAGATTGTGACAATTACGAATTCCAAGTCGAGCAGAGCTATTGAGCCATTGTCAAACAGATCGAGTGAGGCGTAGAATAGTTTTGTGAGTTAACAGGTTATTTTTTTATATTCATGTTAACAATGTTAACAAATTCTGTAAAAAAAATGGAAAAAATGTAGGTTTTTGGTTAAAATGTTGATGCTTGTGTCATGCCCTTTAATTCATGTGCATGTAGTTTAGACGAGCATTTTGGCGATCACATATTGATTTATTTTGTCATAAATATGAATTATGATTTAACTGTTTGTCCTCTATTGTGAATTTGTACGCATACATATGTACAAGGGCACTCCCCGAATGAAAAGGATGAACACGCCAGGATTTGATGCCAACATTGGTTATTATTCACCTGGAAAAGTGATGCTAAGGAGGGTACTTCATTGTCTTTAAAAATGTATATGTTTTAATTGGTAATAAAAAGCACTCCTGGTGATCATGTGTACATGAAACCACAGGTGAAACAACA